CACATCAGGTAAACACGAAGAGACAGCACACTCCACCCATTACCCACGGAACCTGAGCACAGGAGAGAGGGGAGGGGAGAAGTCCCACAGTCACCCGAAAAACTCCGGCGCACACTCTCCACTTCAGCCGAGAGATGCAAAACCTGTCTCAAAAAAACAAAAAAAGGCTGGCGCAAGGCGGCTAAGCCTGTAATCTCAGCACATTGGGAGGCCGAGACAGGCGGATCACAAGGTCAGGAGCACCCTCACACACACACTGCGACACCCCGTCTCTACAAAACTACAAACAACACTACAGCCTGGGCGACCGTGCGCCGGCGCGCCTCTGTAGTCCCCACCTAGCGCGCCGCGCTCGACGGCCACGGCAGAACTCGCGTAACCCGCGGCCCTGCGACGCTTGCAGTGACTGGTCCCCCTGCCACCTGCACCTGCAGCCTGGCGGCAGAGCGACGACTCTCTCAAAAACTCAACACTCACACACACACATAAATAAACTAAATATAACTAAATAAAAACATAAAGACACACACACACACTCATTCTGCCAATACGAAATATGTGAGATGCCGGGCGCCCCGGCTGGCCTCAACGCTGTACATCCCCGCACTCCCTTGCGCGCACCGCGCGGCGCGCACACAGCGGAGATCGAACCCATCCTCGCGCACACCGCGCACACACGCTCTCTCACACACACACCCACAAAAACCTACGCCGGGCGAAGTCGCGCGCTGCTCAGTCCAGGCTACCTCACGCGGAGGCCAGCGCAGAGAATCGCGCGCGCACCGCGAGGCGCGCGCTCTCCGCAGTAGCTGAGCACCCCGCCCACCTGCACTCAGCCTCGGTGACAGAGCCAAGACCCGTCTCAAAAAAAACAACAAAAAAACAAAAACAACACAAAAAAAACAAGCAAACTACGCCTCACGACTACTACAATATATCAACAAAATTAAATTTAAAATTGTTCATTTACCATTAACTCTAGAATCTAATTTCTAAAATATATTTTTTTACCAATTTTATATTTGCTATGCTTTTTGTAAGAATACAACTTTTTTTAACACAGAAAAAAACAAAGCTAAGTGATGTAATCTTTTCACTTGTTAACAATGTATATCTATTCTGAAAGTTATATTGATAAGCAAATTCTTCAGTTAAAACCAATTTTTCAGTGCATTAAAGAATACCAACTTTCTCCTTAGAACCTACAAACTCCCATGTAAAATGACAACGCACGAAGACAACAATGAGAAAACTGTAGACATAACACAGTAAAAGAGGAAAGACTGTGATGCATATATACTTGGAATACACATAAGACAAAACTGAAAATCAAAAGAAGCAGAATTTTTGTATAAATTCAGTAAGTCAGCTTTGCAGCAGTCCTCTCCACATGATGAATCAACGTTATTTCTTCACCATTGGTATTTTCCATTTCCAACTTGAAGTTACAAACTCCAGCAAAAGTATTTATGACTTATTATAAAGCATGTTTTACTCAGAAGTCATATTTGTTTGCTACATATGTAAAAACATCCTCATGACTTGTGAAGTCTCCCTAGTACTTACCAAAGCAAATTAGCTCACTCAATAGATTTACTTATGTCAATATGAAAAGTGAAACAAAGAAAATTAGGCTTATATAGGTTTCTCCAATAAAACAAAATCAAAAACTAAAATATAATAATACAGTAATTTTGTATACATCTAAAAATTATTTTGTGTGCACTGTTTAAATTTCATAAAAATCATTCTTATAATCCCCAACCAGCTCACATAATGAGTACATCATAAACTACAAAACAAGAAAATCATGGGCCTAGCATGAGTACCAGACAAGTAAAAACTGAGAATGTGCATAGGCAGATTCTGAACCATAAGCCCTAACATTTTACAGCAATGAATTCAACACAATGCACAGAGTATAGATTTGCTTTCAACATTTTCAAGGTTTTTAGTTTTCTAATAAGTCACTGTATTAATTTGTTTTGTTCCAATATTGCTATCTTCTTCTGAAAATGGATACAAACTCGTACTCACACATACTTCATAATTTTCTTACACCTAAGGTTTATCTTTAGAGTCATATATGTATATATTTAACTCTATGTAAATAAAAACTAAAAGCCTGTATGTGTTTACAGGCAGAGAGAAAACATGTTCAAAGAAAAATATGTAACAAATTCCTTAAGTATTTATTCAGGACTTAGAGATGTATCAATTTTATTGATACTTCTATACAAATTTTATTATGACCATAAAAATGACCCTGTAGCGAAGAACAATTGTAAATTTTAAAATAATCAAAGTGCTTTTAATATTTTAAAACACAGTATTTCTGTTATTTTACTAATCAAATTGTAATAAAAAGGATAAATGCTAGAGGTGATGGATGTCTCATTTATCCTGATGTAATTATTATATATTACACACCTGTACCAAAAAATGCCATATATGGCATAAATATATACACACACTGTGTAACCACAAAATTAAAAAGAATAAGACAGGATAAAAATGGGGCCAGGCATGGTGGCTCACGCCTGTAATCCCAGCACTTTGGGAGGCCGAGGCGGGTGGACCACGAGGTCAGATGGAGACCATCCTGGTTAACACAGCGAAACCCTATCTCCACTAAAAGTACAAAAAATTAGCTGGGTGTGGTGGCAGGTGCCTGTAGTCCCAGCTACTCAGGAGGCTAAGGCAGGAGCAAGGCGTGAACCCGGGAGGTGGAGCTTGCAGTGAGCTGTGATCGTGCCACTGCACTCCAGCCTGGGAGACAGAGCGAGACTCCCTCTCAAATAAAAAAAAGTATAAAAATGTAACCTATGTGAAAAATACGTTTTAACTTATTTGCAATCTGAAGCCACTGACAGAACCGATTACTAGACATGTTATTCCACTATGTTGCCAAATAGCTTATCATTATATTTTACCTACACCCTCAAGTAAGGTGGGTATGTTACAGTTAGTGGAATAATAATGCTCCATTGAATGCACAAAACTTTTTTTTTTTTTTGAAACAGGATCTTGCTCTTGTTGTCCAGGCTAGAGTGCAATGGCGTGATCTTGGCTCTCTGCAACCTCTGCCTCCTGGCTTCAATTGATTCTTCTGCCTCAATCTCTGAAGTAACTGGGATTACAGGCACCTACCACCATGCCCGGCTAATATCTTGTATTTTTAGTAGAGACAGGGTTTCACCATGTTGGCCAGGCTGGTCTCGAGCTCCTGATCTCAAGTGTTCTGCCTGTCTCAGCCTCCCAAAGTGTTCGGATTACAGACATGAGTGAGCCACTGCGCCCAGCCAGAATGTACAATAGTATTAATATAGTAAAAGAAAATATCTAATTAAAAATTAAGTCCACACATAATCTAAGAGTTTTTAAATGTACTGCATTTTATTAAATAAAAGTACAATCAGTAACATTATATGGTACTACTTTAACTTACATTTAACTAAAAAATGTTTTTCTCTTATAACATGAAAGAGTATTACTCTGAACAACTACCTCATAAATCACTAAGTTAACTACAAAGAGCCTCTTCACTTAGATACTTCACTTAGATACTTATCATGCATCTTACATTTCATTGTCCTTACTCTTTAAGAGGTGGTGTGTAATTCCCACCTAATAAAGTATCCCTCATATCTCTTATGCAGCAATAGTTGATCATATGCTTTCACAGGTGAATGCAATAGAAATGAAGAAATAGCATGAAGTAATTTCAGAGTTAACTTACATCATTATTTACTTTTAGAAAGTTTTGTAACTTACCAAAAAAGTATACTTGAATGTAATTATGACTTTTCAAAGAAATGTCTACTCATTTTAAAGTTATATAAAATTAATTTACTTACCAACTGTAGTTTTGGATTTTCTACACACAGCAGTCTGATTTAGTGTAATGTCTGAAGTGTCAGTGCCTTAGCTATTTCTACTGTTAATTCTCTGATAATTATATAAACTCAATTTGAATTAAATATTTCTTCGTATTTATTTCATCTGCAAAAGAATATTTTAGTATGAGCTCTCTGGCATTTTCTATGCTATAGTTATTGAAAAAATGTTTTCCCAAACTGATTACATTTGCTGAATTCTTCTCCGATATAAATTCCCTAACGTTGAACAAAGTTTCAGCAACTGCTTCACGGTTCTTCTCTAGTAGAAAATGTGTACAATAGGCGGGCATGGTGGCTCACGCCTGTAATCCCAGCACTTTGGGAGGCCGAGGCAGGTGGATCACGAGGTCAGGAGATTGAGACCATCCTGGCTAACACAGTGAAACCCCATTTCTACTAAAAATACAAAAAATTAGCTGGGGGTGGTGGCGGGCGGTTGGGCGCGGCACCACTAGTCCCAGCCACTCGAGAGGCTGAGGCAGGAGAATCTTGTGAACCTGGGAGGCGGAGATTGCAGCGTGCAGTGAGCTGAGATCACGCCACCGCACTCCAGCCTGGGTGACAGAGCGAGACTCTGTCTTAAAAATAAAAATGTGTACAATAAAATATGTGATACAAGTACTACAACCCTCTTTATATTTGTAATGTTTGTCTTCAGAATAAACTCTTCACTTTAAAGGCTTATATTTCTGAAAGATCGTTTGATAGTAATTGTATTTATAATATTAAGTATGAACTCTCTGATGTTGTACAATATGTGAGCAGATATTAATGACTTTCCCACATTCTTTATATTTGTACACCATTTCTCAACTATAAATGCTTTCCTGTGCAATAAGTTGTGAACACTGGTTAAAAGTTATATTCTTCATACTTGGAGTTTTCTCCAATATAAATTATTTTACCTGCAATCAAGTGTGAAAACCATTTAAAAGCTTTTTCACATTCTTTGTATTTCTAGAGTTTTGCAAGAGTATAATCTTTTTTTTTCTTTTTTTAATGTTTAGAAAAGTTTGAGGTGTTATTAAAAGCACTGTGACATTCAGGATTGTAGAGTTTTGCTCCAGTATGAAACATCTTATATCTGTTAATAATTGAGGACTTGTTAAGGGCTTTGTGACATTCTTCACACTTTAGGATTTCTTTCTAGTATAAATTATGTGTTGAGAACTTGTAAAGGCTTTGTCACATTCTTCTTATTTCTAGGCTTTATCTTCCATATGAGTTCTCATGAATTCTTTTGTACTTAGTAAATGTTGAGGATTTGTTAAATCCAGGCCACATTCTTCACATTTGTACGGTTTCTCTACTATGAATTCCCTTATGTTTAATAAGGATCGAGGAATGGTTACAAGCTTTGCCACATTCTTCACTTCGTTGGGGTTCTTGAGCATGAATTCTCTTATGTACAGTAAGGTTTGATAAACGATTAAAAGGTTTACCACATTCTTCACATTTGTAGGGTTTCTCTCCAGTATGAATTATCTTATGTTGAGTAAGGTGTGAAGACCGGTTAAAGGTTTTGCCACACTCATCACACTTGTAGGGTTTCTCTCTAATATGAATTATCTTATGTGGAATAAGGTATGAAGACTGGTTAAAAGTTTTGCCACACTGTTCACATGTGTAGGGTTTCTCTCTATTATGAATCATCTTACGTTGAATAAGGTGTGAAGACCGGTTAAAAGCTTTTCCACACTCTTCATGTTTGTAGGGTTTCTCTCCAGTATGACTCATCTTATGTCCAGTAAGGGCTGAGGACCGGTTAAAGGCTTGGCCACACTCTTCACATTTGTAGGGTTTCTCTCTAGTATGAATTATCTTATGTTGAGTAAGGGTAGTAAGAGCTGAAGACCAGTTAAAGGCTTTGCAACATTCATCACATTTGTAGGGCTTCTCTCTAGTATGAATTCTCTTATGTTCAGTAAGGTGTGAAGACCAGTTAAAGGCTTTGCCACATTCTTCACATTTGTAGGGTTTTTCTCTAGTATGAATTATCTTATGTCGAGTAAGGTGTGAAAACCTGTTAAAGGCTTTGCCACACTCTTCACATTTGTGGGGTTTCTCTCCAGTATGAATCCTCTTATGTCGAGAAAGGGCTGAGGACCGGTTAAAAGCATTGCCACACTCTTCACATTTGTAGGGCTTCTCTCCAGTATGAATTATCTTATGTTTAGTAAGGGCTGAGGACTTGTTAAAGGCTTTGCCACATTCTTCACATTTGTGGGAATTCTCTCTAGTATGAATTCTCTTATGTTGAGTTAGTTGTGAAAGCATGCAAAATGATTTACCACATTCTTTACATTTGCAAGTTTTCTTTTCAGTATGTCTTATCTTATGTCTATCTACATTTGCAAATTTATAAAAGACTTTCTCATATTCATCACATTGATATATTTTCCTCTGGGTTGTTGTCAGACATTGGTTAAGTCTATTACAATCTCCTTTGCACACCTTACACTCATCCACACTTTTACAGCCTAATCTTAATTGTAAATTATCACGTCCACATTTATCATATCTCCTCAGTATGACTTTTTGGAAAAAATCTTTAATGTCTCGCTCTGGCCAAAGGTCTTCAGCAATATGAGAACACATAACTAAAAGAAATTAAAACAACAAATTACTCCACTTACTGGTCTCAGGTAAATATTTTTTACAAATCTAACCTATAAAACTATATAAACTATATAACCAAGATGGCATAGCAAAATAACACAGCCTCTAATTTATTCAAAAACATATAAAATGTAACAAAAACATACTGACCAAAACACATTTTTGGAAAATTTATAAATAAATGTGTGAAGCGCCCCAGGTGAAAACAATGAAAAAAGCAACATGAAGAAAAAGAAAAGTCTGTTACATTAACCCAACACAGAACTTCCTTCTCCCCAGTATAACATAGTGTTCTTAGAAGTAAATTGCCAACTCCTTGTTTCTATTTAAAAGACAAGAAAAATACTGGCACATACATTTTTATGTCTGGCTTTTAGGGGTCTTTCAAGACCCTGGTTTCAGTCTCTCATTAAATAAAATGCTGAAAAAAACAGTATACTTTGGAATGACAATTTGAGACTGCTGAGACCAAAGGTAAATGTCACACCAGCAGAGAGACTGCAGTACCACAGAAAGGGATCAAGTGTAGCAAGTGATAAATGCAAATAAACTTTTTAAACTAGAAAATAAAACATTTCAGATAAGACACATTCTAAGAATATGTTTGAAAGGCTCCCAGAATGACTAGCCGTGACAACTGGTTTCAGACTGTGCCAGGATAAAGCTACATTGTAAAGACTGTGACAGGTGGCTTTTTTTTTTCTTAAATGTCCAAGTCTCAATCAAAGATTACAATGTATACAAAATATTAGGGCAACATGGCCCCTTCAAAAAAATCATGAAATTTTCAGAAAGCAATCATTATAAAAGTATTTTAAAAACAGGAATTGTGGAGGTAAAAAAACACAAAAAGAGATAATAACCAATTCTAAAGAAAAAATAGTATAAAAATAAAGAAGTTCCACAAACTAAAACACACATCTATAAGAACAATTTAAAATGTCACAGATAAGAAAGAATCTAAAGAGCTGCAAGATGAAAGTGATGTGTCATTTGTAAGCATAGTTACACAATAAAGTTTTTCAGAAGAAAATTTTACACGCCAGAAGAAAACTGTGTGATATTGTCAAAGCCCTGAAGAAAAGTAGCTGTCAAGTGAGAATAATCACCAGCAAAATGTCCTACCAAACAATAATAAAGACCTTCCAAAATAACCAAATCCTGAGACAGTATATTGGCACTATAGATGGCCTATTTATCAAAGATGCTGAAAAAAGTTTCTTCCACTGAAAATAACATGATGCAAGAACACACAATCATATAAAAATACGTAAGTTCCTGGGAAACATACATACACAAAAATAGAATTCGTTAGCATTCTCATAAGGAGACAGAAAACATTTATTATTCTCTAAAATTAGAAAAAGAAAAGCACAGAAAGTATTGTAAATATCTGTTAATAAATACACAACTTAAAAAGATATAATCAGCAATATCAATAACAAAGTTGAGGGCAGATGTAATGATGAAAAATTTTTGTATATAACTGAAGTTCATTTTTCACCAGATTAAATATATACTGTTTTATCTTTTAGAGGTTTTATGTAATCCCCAAAGTATCACAAAGAAAATATCTGTGTAGACACCCAAAAGAAAATAAGAAAGAAGTGAAATTTTATCAATATTAAAATGAAATAGACACAAAGGAAGACAGAAAATGAGGGATAAAGATATAAGAATCAAATCAAATCAAATAACAGGAGTCTTTGTCTTTCAGAAAATTACTTACATATATGTATAATTAACTTTCTAATCAAGAGACATAGTTTCAATAGCCTTTCTACAAGAGTCAGTTTAGAACTAATAATAATAAAGCCTGAAAGTGGCAAGATTGAAGTAGGCATTTTATCCAGATATTAACCAAATGAGAGCAGAAAAGTTCAAATTAGTATTACACGAGCTACATCTTGAGTCAAAAACTCATATTATATAAAATATATATGAAGTCAAAACTCCAAAAAGACAAAGAAGGGCATTTTAAGCAATAATAGATTTATTCACTGGGAACCTATGAAAAATTTGTACATATGTGCACGTGTGTGTATGTGTGTATCTCACATTAGGGTTCCAAATATGTAAGGTAAATATTGACATAATTGAAAAAACACATAAAAAGCAATGTAATTATAGCAGGATATTTTGATACCTCACATTCTCTGATAATAATAATAAAAGAGAGTATTAGTAAAGAAACAGCAGGCCGGGCGCGGTGGCTCAAGCCTGTAATCCCAGCACAGGACTAAGACCAGCGATCACGAGGTCAGGAGAATCAAAGACCACTTGGTCCTAACACCCTAGTGAAAACCCCGTCTTACTATAAAAATACAAAAAAACTAGCCGGCTGAAGTGAGCGGGGCGCTGTTTAGTCCCAGCTACGGGAGGAGCTGGAGGCAGTGAGGAATGGCGTTGAACCCGGGAGGCGGAGCTTGCAGTGAGGCTGGAATCTGGTCCACCGCACCAGCTGGGTGACAGAGCAAGACTCGTCTCAAAAAAAAAAAAAAAAAAAAAAAAAAAAAAAAAAGAAAACAGCACTGAGGGCAAGTAACAAGTATTCTAACAGTTATAGAGAAATCTCAACATTAGGAAAAAACCTGCATAGGCTCATACAACATTCTTTTTGATTAGACCACCTGTTAGTCAAAAAATAAATCTTAAAAATGTTTAAAATTAAATTTTTGAGCTGCAGGTGCGCTGGCTTACACCTGTAATCCGAAAAACTTGGAGCCGAGGGCAGGAGATCCACCTAGGAGGAGTCAAGACCAGCCTGGCCCAACATGGAAAATACAAAATTAGCCGGTATGTAGTGGTGGCATGCCTGTGACCAGCTTACTTTGGAGGCTGAGGCAGGAGAATCGTTGGACCAGGAGTGCGGAAGTAGTTGCAGTGAGCGGAGACACAGCTGCTGGCCACTCTAGCAGGCCAACAGAGCAGGACTCTGTCTCAAAAAATAAAAATAAAAATAAAAATTAAATATAACTAAACCTAACTAAATAATAAATACCCTGGCAGGCACGGTGGCTCTCATGCCTGTAATCCAGCACTTTGGGAGGTTGAGGTGGTGGATCACGAAAAGGTCAGAGAGATCCAGACTATCCTGCTAGACGGTGAAACCCATCTCAAAATGCAAAAAATTGAGCCGGGCGTGGTGGCAAGTGCCTGTAATCCCAGCTACTGGGGAGCTGAGGCAGAGAATGGCATGAACCCCAGGAGGCCAGAGCTTGCAGTGAGCCAAGATTGTACCACTGCACTCCAGCCTGGGCCGACAAAGCGAGACTGCTGTCTCAAAACAAAAAACAAAAACAAAACAAAACAAAACCAAAAAACACCTAAAACTTTGAGTTTTATGCCTATAGGTCCCAGCACTTTGGGAGACAAGGCGCTGTGGATCAACTGAGGTGGGGAGTTTGAGACCAGCCTGGCCAATATGGTGAAAACCCTGTCTCTACTAAAAATACAAAAAATTAGCTGGGCTGGTGGCAAGCACCTATATCCGTCAGATACTAGGAGGTTAAGGCACAAGAATTGCTTGAACCCAGAGGCAGGGGTTCCAGCCTGGGCAACAGAGACTGTCTCAAAAAAAAAAACAAAACAAAACAATAAAAACACCCTAAAATTTATGGATTACTTTCCATGAACAAAATGGAATAAGAATATAAAACAATGGGAAAAAATTGAAAAATTCACAAATATATAGAAATTAAACAATACACTCAAGCATGCTCTTGTTCAAAGGTTAAAATAATTAATATTGTAAAGATGTTTATACTATTTAATGTAATCTACAGATTTAATGCAATGTTTCTCAAATTTCTCATTGCATTTTTGAAAAAAATAGCAACAGCAGCCGGGTGCGGTGGCTCAAGCCTGTAATCCCAGCACTTTGGGAGGCCGAGACGGGCGGATCACGAGGTCAGGAGATTGAGACCATCCTGGCTAACACGGTGAAACCCCGGTCTCTTACATAAAATACAAAAAATTAGCCGGCGCGGCGGTGGCGCGGCGCCCTGCAGTCCCAGCTACCGCAGGCTGAGCAGGAGAATTGGCGAGAAACCACGGGAGGGCAGAGCTTGCAGTGAGCTGAGATCTGGCGCCTGTACACTCCCCAGCCTGGGCCAACAGGCGACCGACTCGTCAAAAAAAAAAAAAAACAAGCAACCAGCAAATGCGCAGAGTGGCTATCGCAAGAGAGAGACAAAGGACCCAAACATCTTCGCAAAAAAAAAAAAAAAGTTGAGGCATATTATATTTCTAATTTCAAACAGATTACAAAGCTACAGAATTAAAGCAATTTGGTAAATGAGTATCAAGGGCTGAAAAACAAGACCAAATCCAATAGAATGCACACATAAATTTCTTCTTTCTTTTTTTTTTCTCTTTGCCACGCACAGAGGTCTTTGAGTCTGCGCGTCGCCCAGCGCGTCGCTCCACACACGCATGCGGCACTCTCAGTTCCACGCGCGCGAGAGCCCGCGCCCGCTCACGCCATATCTCCTGCTCGAGCCTCCTTGCATCAGCTCGGACAGCCGGCCCGCCACCGTAGCCTGGCTAGTATTTTCTCGTAGAGCTTCTTCCTCACAAGAGGCGCGCGGTTTCGTCGGCTGAGCCGCCGATGGGCGCGATCTCCTCGACCTCGTGATCCACCCGTCCGGCCTCCCGAAGTGCTGGATTACAGACATTCGAGCCACCCCCCCGGCAGCCCGGCCAACATAAACTTTCATATATACTGGTCATCATAGTCCATTTGCTTACCCATAATTGTCTAAGCATTAGTTAGCCTACCGCCACATAGGTAAACCCACCAGCTCCAGTTTCTGCGCACCAAATTATTCAATCATACGTAATTTGAAATGTAAAAATATGGTATACCGCTCAGTTTCCAAAAGAGCAGAAAACTATTCCTAAAGCCAACTACACAGATAAATCGTTGATGACATTTTGCAAAGTGACATGAAGGGCCCAGCCCCACAACGACATAGAGATTGTAATGAGATACCTATAAAGAGTTAGACCAACGAAAGAAAACAAAATGGTGTTTGAAAAGTGGCCCAGCAATACAAGGAATAATTGGTAGTTGTATGATGTGTAGAGATTAGTGTCTGCAAAGACGAAAACACTTCAGAATATGAATATTTGACAATATTTTATTGTAAATTGTTGTGCTTTTGACAAGTAAAAATGAACAATAATAACTAGAAATAATAGCTAGAAATTTAGGTTTTTTTTTTTTTTTTTTTTTTGAGACGGAGTTTCGCTCTTGTCACCCAGCTGAAGTGCAATGGCACCATGTTGACTCACTGCAACCTCCGCCTTCTGAGTTCAAGCGATCCCCCCTGCCTCAGCTTCACGAGTAACTGGGATTACAGGTGCCCAACACCATGCACGGCTAATGTGTTTGTATTTTTGGTAAAGATGGGGTTTTGCCACCTTGGCCAGGCTAGTCTCAAACTGCTGACCTCAGGTGATCCACCTGCCTTGGCCTCCCCAAGTGCTGGGATTACAGGCGTGAACCACCGTGCCCAGCTGATAGTTTTTAAATTATCTTCATGCTGGGCGCAGTGGTTCACGCCTGTAATTCCAGCACTTTGGGCGGCCGAGGCGGGTGGATCACGAGGTGAGGAGATAGAGACCATCCTGGCTAAAACGGTGAAACCCTGTCTCTACTAAAAATACAAAAAATTAGCCAGGTGTGGTGGCGGTCACCTGTAGTCCCAGCTACTCTGGAGGCTGAGACAGGAGAATAGCGTGAACCCGGGAAGCAGAGCTTACAGTGAAGCCAAGATTGCACCACTGCACTCCAGCCTGGGCAACAGAGCTATACTCTGTCTCAAAACAAAAAGCAAACAAACAAAAAACCCAAATCTGTTGATGATGCAATGAAAATGAAACCCATGTTGATTGCTGGTGAAACTCAGGAATGTAGCCATTATTTAAAAAGGTTATAAAGGTACCTCAAATAATTAAAAATAAAATTATAGAATACAGCAATCTCATTTATGAATCTGTATCTATAACATGCAACACAGGACCTGGAAGACAAATTTGAACAATCATGTTTATTGTATTAGTATTCACAAAAGTCAAAAGGCTGAAGAAACCCAAATGTCTTTTAATCTGGAAACACGTTGAAAAATATAATACATAAATACAATGAAATATTATTTGGCATTATAAAATCTTGTCATATTTGAAGATTAATTGAGAATATTGTGTCCCCTGAAATAAGCCAGTAACAAAATAATGAATACTATATAATTCCATAATACGAGATATTTTAAGTAGTCACACTCATAAAAACAGAAAGTGAAATGGTGTTTGTCAATGGTTGGAGAGGGTAAAATGGGTTGTTTTTACTTAATGGGTATTGAGTTTTAGTTTTACAAGATGGAAAATTTCTATAAGTCTCTTGTATAACAATGTGAATGTACTTAACATGCCTGAAATATATGCCATTTTTTTGGAAACAGGGTTTTGTCACCCAAGCTGGAATGCAGCGGTACAACTATGGCTCACTGCAGCCTCAAACTCCCAGGTTCAAATAATACTCCCCCCTAGCTCCCAAATAGCTAGGGCCACAGGTGCACACTACCATGGCTGGCTATTAAATTTTTTTTTTTGCAGAGAGGGGGTCTTTATATGTTGCCCAGGCTGGTCTCAATATTTTGGGCTCAAGTAATCCTTCTGACTTGGCCTCCCAAAATCCTGCTATTATTGATGTGAGCCACCACCTTCCTAGGACTGAAATGTACACATAAATAGACTAAAGATGGTAAATTTTAGGCCAGGCGGGGTGACTCACACCTATAATCCCAGCACATTGGGAGGCCGGGGCAGGCAGATCACTTGAGGCCAGGAGTTCAAGATCAGCCTGGCCAACATGGTGAAACCGCATCTCTTCTAAAAATACAAAAATTATCTGGGTGTGGTTGCCTATGGCTATAATCCCAGCTACTCAGGAGGCTGAGGCAGGAGAATTGCTTGAATGCGGGAGGCGAAGATTGCAGGGAGGCAAAGGTTACAATGAGCCGACATTATGCCACTGCAGTCCAGTCTAGGTAGCAGAGCAAGATTCCATCTCAAAAAAAGACGGTAAATTTTATGTTATCTGTTTTTTCAACAATAAATGTTTTAGGAGAAAAACTAAAAAAAAATACAGAATTATAAATCCTTTCAAAAATTAACTTCAAAAAAATGACGAAAAAGAAAGAATATTAAAAAAAGAATACCTTCAAATCACAAAAGTTTTTAACACAAAAAAATATATATTCACTAAACACATGGTGAAAATAAGACTATTTCCATGACTACTCACTTAGACAAAACCACTAAAAATCAGCTAAAAAATATATACATAAGCGATAACCAAAATTGGGGTATAGATAAAAACACACACCTATATAATCTGATCATGACAGACATATGAATGGATGAATGGTTTATCTTTTTTTTTTCCTTGAGGAGTCTTGCTCTGTCACCCAAGCCAGAGTGCAATGGCACGATCTTGGCTCACTGAAACCTCTGCCTACTGGGTTCAAGCAATTCTCCTGCCTCACCCTCCCGAGTAGCTGGGATTACAGATACAGGTGCACGCCACCATGCCCGGCTAATTTTTTGTATTTTTAGTAGAGACGGGGTTTCACCAAATTGGTCAGGCTGGTCTCAAACTCCTGACCTCAGGTAATCCACCCGCCTCGGCCTCCCAAAGTGCTAAGATTAAAGCTGTGAGCCACTGCGCTCAGCCTGGATGGTTTATCTCTTATATTGACTTAAAGTGTACAAACAGAATTGCAAATTGTCTAAAATTATAGTACGTAAGTAAAACAAAAAACTCACAATGAACTGATGTTAAGAAACCTACACTGAAAAAAACACAAACATGGAACTGCAAAACAATAATAAAATGTTTACTCATATAATCTGGTATGCAACATTGATGTACCATTAAAAAAAAATTGTCTAAATAGCTACAATATTTGACAGTAACTGTGTACTTACTGAAGGCAGGTATTTTGAATCACTGACGGGCACTATGTGGCAGTAAAATTTTAGAGAAAATGCAGTATAATCATAAATAGAAGATTCTAATGACAAACATTTAATAAATAAGCATTTAAAATAAACTAGAGATCATGTTTATGTTTTAATTGTATGTTATTCTTTCACAAAATGAAACTGCTGTAATCCAAGTTTAGAAGCAAGAAATAGCCTTACATTGCTAAATTATATGTACGTAATTTAATATATATTATATATTTTATATACATATAATATATATAGCAGATTATAGTTAGAGTCTCTGTTATATAAAACAAATATTTAGACATAAATTGTTATTATTTAGATATAGGCTAGAGAAAGTGGGTGAAAAGCTTATAATTCCTGTTTGCCTGCAGCAAACTTAAATTTATAAGTAACTATATTAGTAAATATGGAGTGCCTACTAATTATCTAATTTACTTCAAACATAACATGTAAATTCTACTTTATTGTTCCTAATGTCTGAATCTAAAATTACAGGCAAATTTGAAACAGAAAATAGAAATTAAAAACTTGTAGAAAGGGTGACATTAGTAAGATGGAAAAATAAAAGGTGTCCTATTTGTCTATTCCACCACAGCAAGAAAATTTGTTGGCCATCCCTGACAAAAATACCTTTATGAGAGAACCAGTCCTCATGGCTTGAACCTGTAATAACAGCTACATGTTATGTTAAGGTTGGAGAATTGCTTCAGGGTAGGATTTCAAAACCAGTCTGGGTTATGTAGCAAGACCCTATCTCCAAAATAAGTGCCTTTAAGAGATCTTTAAGGTCCAGGGATGAAGTTTTGAAATTCTGCTAAGCCAAAGATTGAAGAGTGTTCTCTTCAGAAGGTAGGCTGTCATTCCAGTGGCAAACTACAGGATCCCTGGTCTTGGCTACAGTACAGGAAATGGCCAACCCACCTTGGTCCCACTGAGAATTCGAATTTACTCTAATTACTTCAAAATCCTTTCAGCCACAGTCTGGGAGAGATTCTTTACTTTCACAGGCCTGGAGGAAGACACCCGTTTATAGCCATGGGGGCCCCAGGCCTGCAGACCCTGGCTTTTAATGTGGTGCCTTTAGCAGTTCAAAGTTTCAGTTCCAGCTTCCTGGGCCACAGTTTATGGCCAGTTCTCTTTACCTAGAAAGCAACACAGTGACCTGAGGAAATCCTCTGTGGTACTCAGCAAAAGCCATACTCATTTACATCCCGATTTAATGTACATTATATACAGACCTAACTACAAAAACCTGCCCTAGTGTCTGCCCTACAGAGCAAAATTTTGAAGGATATCCAGTCTGTCCAAAAATAATTGGGAATTACAACTACCTGAGCCCCTTGTAACAAGCCGACTAAAGGTGGATGCTAGTGCAGACCCAGCAATCTTGTGACCAAGCTACAACCCCTCTCCATCACAAACCCAGTGGGAATCCCATCACCCTGGGGGCCCAATGGAAGATCTTTACCTCCTGAAACCAGTTTATAGCAACTTGAAGAGGTGTTTGCTTCTTCAAATTCACAGACACCAAATGCAAAATTATATTGTGCAGCTTGTCAATGCTTCCATTTTAACATAGCACTGAAGTATGTGGCAGAATAATTAGTCAAAACAATTTTCAAAAAGTCATTGAAACTGAAGACAAATAAGTAAAAATTTGCTGTTTGTAGATTACATGATCTTATATATAGAAAACCACAAGCAGTGCATTAAAACCTAAGTTAATAAACTCAGTAAATTCACAAAATATAAAATTAACATACAAGTTATGGTCCCATACACTTAAGACAAACTATCTGATAAAATAGACAAAAAAAAAATCTTATTTACAATAGCATTAAAACAATAAATTTCTGGCTGGGCACGGTGGCTCACACCTGTAATCCCAGCTGTTTGGGAGGCCAAGGAGGGTGGATCATCTGAGGTCAGGAGTTCAAGACTAGCCTGACCAACATGGTGAAACCTCATCTTTACTAAAAATACAAAAATTAGCTGGGCATGGTGGCAGGTGCCTGTAATCCCAGCTGCTTGAAAGGCTGAGGCAGGAGAATTGCTAGAACCCAGGAGGTGGAGTTAGCAGTGAGCTGCGACCACGCCATTGCACTCTATTCTGGGCAAGAAGAGTGAAACTACATCTCAAAAACATAAATAAATAAATTTATCTCTGAGAACAAAGACCAAGGAAATAAAAATTCTTGGCACTGAAAGATATAAGATAGCTAGGAAAAGAAATAGAGAAGACACAAATAAATTTAAAAATGTTTTATGACTCTGACTTGAAAGAATATAGATTCAATAAATACAGATTCAATAAGCTCCCTATAAAAATTCCAGTGGCAAGTTTTTTTCACAGTAATGGAAAATACAAGACTAAAGTTTACATGAAACTACAATAAACTTTGAATAGCCAAAGCAATCTGAAGGAAAAAAAATAAAGCAGAACGACATAATATTTTATCATTCCAAACTCTCTCTCAATATACTAAAAAGATGGAATGTGCAGAAAAATTAAAAATTCAATGGAAAAGAAACCACTACTCCATTTCAGACATGATGCAAAAAGAGAACTTAAAAAATAGCTTAACACAGAGTTTTTAAAAATTACGCAGATATTTGTGTGTCCCTAAAAACAATGAAAAAGGAGTCAGACTGTGCAGTCTCTTATATGCCATGAGGACTTTGGCTCTCACTGTAAACTTGAAGAAAAATGACTGAAAGTAGAATCTTTAGAGAATTTAAAAGCATAAGACAGAAAATGCCCCTATGTGAGAACAAAGAAAAAAAAAAAAAAAAACAAGCCTCAGACTTCCAGAAACTATACCCTTTGGAACACAGCTTCCCAAATGACATTTTAAGGACTTGCTTTCTTTCTCCTTGACCTTTGGATCTCTCATCTGTTGTATTGGCTTTCACTCTCACCTACCTGGGGCTTTGGCCACCATCTCATGTCTCTTCATATTCCAGGGCTCTTTTCCTTGCTCCAGACAGGTGACTAGGTCTGGCTTAGAGACAGCAATACCTGTTTTATTAAAAATAAGTAACATGCATCTTGCTCATATTCTCCAATTACCAACTTAGTAATGTGCTCAGTAAAGAGGATTTAATACAATATTCTAATACATTTATCCCAAAATACTAATTTATAAAAATTAAAAAAAATATATTTAGAAAACACTGTATATTTGTATGTTCTTAATTCACTACCCAGTAGTACTGAATTAAAAAATTGGTGCTAGCAATTAGATTTTAAGGTGTGGGCGATAGTATTTTACACCACTAAATTTCTGGAATTACCACTAATCTAGAATGAGGGATACAGATCAGCTCAGCAATGTGGAAAGTTCAGCTCAAGATGAAACATCTTGAAATTTCTTTTTCCTACACTGACAAATCCTTATGATTTTCTTGAAAATAGGGGTTTGAAACTCATTTATGCAAAGCATAATTATCAAAAATGACCAAATTACCAAATAATTCTACAAAAAAACCAAAAATGAAGTATTTGGGGTACATTAGGAATTGAGTATTGAAGTTATTCTCACCCAGGAAGACCAGGTTTCTGTAGTTCTCTAACATCACATCCCTATATAAATTCTGCTGTGCAATGTCCAGGCATTGCCACTCCTCCAGAGAGAATTCTACAGTCACATCCCTAAATGTCAGTGGTCCCTGAAAAACACACAAACAAGATACACATGTATTTACCAAGTGGTCATGGACAGAATTTTAAATTTCACTCAAGGTGTAATTACAGAGTAGAGAGAACAGGTTCTGACTTATAGGAGTGACTGAAATTATCCAAGAAAATAATTTTTAACACAGAAATATTCCCTATTCTCTGACTCTAAAGACACACCCCCACACACATTTACCAAATGGCCACAGGCAGAATTTTTAATGTGACTCAGGGTCAAATGAGAGAGTAGAGAACTGGTTCTGACTTATAGAAGTGACTAAAATTATCTAATAAAATAATTTTCAACATAGAAATATTCTCTAATATATTCTTTTTACTTTTCTATTTTTATTATACTTTAAGTTCTAGGGTGCATGTGCACAACGTGCAGGTTTGTTACATATGTATACATGTGCCATTCACATTAGGTATATCTCCTAATGCTATCCCTCCCCTCTCCCTCAACGCCACTACAGGCCCCTTTGTGTGACGTTCCCCACCCCGTGTCCGAGTGTCCTCATTGTTCAATTCCCACCTATGAGTGAGAACATGTGGTGTTTGGTTTTCTGTCCTTGCGATAGTGTGCTCAGAATGACGGTTTCCAGTTTCATCCATGTCCCTGTAAAGGACATGAACTCATCCTTTTTTAAAGGCTGCATAATATTCTATGGTGCATATGTGCCACATTTTCTTAATTCAGTCTATCATTGATGGACATTTGAGTTGGTTCCAAGTCTGTGCTATTGTGAATAGTGCCACAGTAAACATACGTATGCATGTGTCTTTACAGCAGCAGCATGATTTATAATCCTTTGGGCATATTCCCAGTAATAGGATGGCTGGGTCAAATGTATTTCTAGTTCTAGATCCTTGAGGAATCGCCTCACTGTCTTCCACAATGGTTGAACTAGTTTACAGTCCTAACAACAGTATAAATGTGTTCCTATTTCTCCACATCTTCTCCAGCACCTATTGTTTCCTTACTTATAACTACCTGATAGAGGTTCCAAGATGGCTGAATAGGAACAGCTCCAGTCTACAGCTCCCAGCATGAGCGACATAGAAGATGGGTGATTTTTGTATTTCCAACTGAGGAACTGGGTTCATCTCACTGGGGCTTGTCAGACAGTGGGTGCAGTACACGGAGTGTGAGCTAAAGCAGGATGGGGTATTGTCTCACCCAGGAAGTGCAAGGAGTGGGGGAATTCCCTTTACTAGCCATGGGAAGCTGTGACAGACAGTACCTGGAAAATTGGGACATTCCCACCCTAATACTGCGCTTTTCCAACAGTCTTAGCAAAGGGCACACCAGGAGATTATATCCCACGCCTGGCTCAGAGGGTCCCATGCCCACAGAGCCTCACTCACTGCTAGCACAGCAGTCTGAGATCCAACTGCAAGGCAGCAGTGAGGCTGGGGGAGGGGCGTCCACCATTGCTGAGGCTTGAGTAGGTAAACAAAGCAGCCAGGAAGCTCGAACTTGGTGGATCCCACCACAGCTCAAGGAGGCCTGCCTGCCTCTATAGACTCCACCTCTGGGGAGAGAGCATAGCTGAACAAAAGGTAGCAGAAACTTCTTCAGACTTAAACATCCCTGTCTGACAGCTTTGAAGAGAGTAGTGGTTCTCCAAGCATGGAGTTTGAGATCTGAGAATGAATAGATTGCCTCCCCTGACCCCTGAGTAGCCTAATTGTCATACTTTGAGAGGTGACAATGTGCTAGCAGCCCTCATTCTCAGCGCCTCCTCGGCCTCGGCATCCACTCTGGTGGTGCTTGAGGAGTCCTTCAGCCCGCCAGGGCACTGTGGGAGCCCCTCTCTGGGTTGGCTGAGGTGGAAGCCGCCTCCCTCTGCTTGCGGGCAGGTGTGGAAGGAGAGGTGCAGGCAGCAACCAGGGCTGTGGGCCACGCTCTTGGGCCAGTGCAAGTTCCTGCAGGGGTGGACAGGGGCAAGGACTCTGGCTCAGCGGCCCGCACATGGAGCAGCCAGGCAGGGCCACCCGCCCAGGACAGTGAGGGGCTTAGCACCAGGGCCAGCAGCTGCGGAGGTTGCGCAGGGTCCCCCAGCAGTGCTGGTCTCCCAGCCTGCCGGTGCTATACTTAAATTCTTAGCTGCCTCCCCACTAGGCAGGGCTCAGGACCTGCAGCCCACCATGTCTGAGCTCCCCTGCCTGCAGTGGGCTCCAGCTCAGAGCCTCCTGGATGGGCACTGCCCCCTGCTCCATGGTGCCCGGTCCCATCCAGAGCCCAAGGGCTGAGTGCAGGCACAGCTCGGGACTGGCGGGCAGCTCCACCTGCAGCCCCAGTGCAGGATCCACTAAGTGAAGCCAGGGGACTTGGAGAACTTTTATATCTAGCTGGAGGATTGTATGTGCACCAATCAGCACTCTGTATCTAGCTAATCTGGTGGGGACTTCGAGAGCTTTTATGTTTAGCTAGAGGATGGTAAATATGCTGTAGCTCAGGGTTTGTAAATACACCAATCAGTACTCTATGTCTAAATCAAGCTTTGTAAATACACCAATTGGTACTCTGTATCTAGCTAACTCTGTGTCTAGCTAACCTAGTGGGAACTTGGAGAACTTTCTTGTCTAGCCTCTGTGTCTAGCTCAAGGATTGTAAACGCACCAGTCAGCTCTCTGTAAAATGGACCAATCAGCTCTCTATAAAATGGACCAATCAGCAGGATGTGGGTGGGGTCAGGTAAGGGAATAAAAGCAGGCTGCCTGCGCCAGCAGTGGCAACCTGCTGGGGTCCCTTCCACACTGTGGAAGCTTTGTTCTTTCGCTCTTTGCAATAAATCTTGCTGCTGCTCACTCTTTGGGTCCATGCTGCCTTTATGACCTGTAACACCGCGAAGGTCTGCAGCTTCACTCCTGAAACCAACAAGACCACGAACCCACCGGGAAGAACAAACAACTCCAGACCTGCTGCCTTTAAGAGCTGTAACACTCACCACGAAGGTCTGCAGCTTCACTCCTGACAGTGAGACCATGAACCCACCAGAAGGAAGAAGCTCCAGCCACATCTGAATGTCTGAAGGAACAAACTCCGGACACACCATCTTTAAGAACTGTATAACACTCACCGCAAGGGTCCGCGGCGACATTCTTGAAGTCAGTGAGACCAAGAACCCACCAATTCCGGACACAACCTCCCAGTAGGGGCTGACTGACACCTCATGCAGCTGGGTGCCCCTCTGAGATGAAGATTCCAGAGGAAGGATCAGGCAGCAACATTTACCATTCTACAATATTTGCTGTTCTGCAGCCTCTGCTGGTGATACCCAGGCAAACACGGTCTGGAGTGGACCTCCAGCAAACTCCAACAGACCGCAGCGGAGGGTCCTGACTGTTAGAAGGAAAACTAACAAATAGAAAGGACATCTCTAATGTATTCTCTAACTCTGATGAAAGAGAGTGGCATAGGAGCCACAACATCAGTATATATATGCTATTTTTCTGAATAAAGTATAAAATTAAGGGCATAAACACAAACGTATATTTTTGAGTGCTATATTTACATCACACAGAATGAGTTGTGTATATTTTTCAGATCAAAAAGACATGTTGAGTTAGCAGGTACCTCTCAAATTTTAATGTGTAGAATAAACCGGATATATTGTTAATGCAGATTATTTTTTCAGAAGATCTAGAATAAAGTCTGAGTTTCTGAATTTCTTTTTTATTTTTTTAGCTTCTGAATTTCTAACAAGTTCACCAGTAATGCCAATGTTTTTGGCCCAAGAATATTTTGTCAAACATCCAGTAAGTAAAAGACCCTGTATTTTTCCTAGTATTCCTGGACTGTAAAAGATGATGAGAGCTTTCACTTACTAAAGACATATATGCAAAGAAAACCTAAGAAAGAGGGGCAGCTACCAGATGAAATGTGATGGTTTATGCACATCAGCTGCATAAAAATAATTTATAATGAAAAGAAAAATAATTAACTTTCTAGTAAAAAAAAAAAAAAAATCTGTCACAGAGCTCCTAAACCAAGTGAATCACTAATATTAACTGCACTAGGACAAATTTTTGTGATGTGCTAATGCACAAAAGAACATAGCATCACCACTGTGACATTTTCCCCAAAAGTAAATTGTAGTCCGAATTTAACCATAAAGAACCATGTGTTTTATGCAAAGTTCAAGACACAGATATCTCCCATGTTCTGTCATTTTTAATAGTGATTTTAAGTAGTCTTTCTGTAACACTCTAGAGAGCAGGTATTTTCCAATTTTTTTTTCAGGACTTTCTGGGTAATAAATGCCATGCTCTTTAAATAAACATTTTCTTAATCCTGTTCTGCATAGAGTTAATGAAGAACACAGATGGAACCTCAACATTACAAGTTTTCCATTTTTACTAAGAACCCCATTCTTCTTCCAATAGGAATCTTGAGTATTCACACCTTCCCAGCCACAAACGGAACATTTTTAATACAGCAGATTACAAATGCATAAAGAGAATTCTGCATGGCATATAAGAAGCCATGATGTAGAAGGCTCTGGTATATGGGAAAAAACATTTTTCAGAGACCCCTGACTATTGTAAGAATTTTTTAAGTAGCTAAACTCATTAGTGAGGAAAAACACAAGTAGAGAAGTAAAGGTTTGCATGTAAAAATGCATGGCATTTCAGAAGGCAGACTGGACACAGCTCTTGATGAGACACGTTTAGCTAAAAAAAAAATTTTTCCTCCTTCTCTGGAATTCCTGCTCAGATGACATTTTCTGCACCAATTACACCTGCATCTTGAGAATATGCCTTTAAAGGTGTCAGCACCACCCATGTACCTCCTTCCTTCCACCACACCCACAGGCAGAAGGACCAAGACCTGCAGAAAAATTCCATCCATTTCTGTCCTTTACACCAGAAGAGATTCAGGATCAATGAGCTGCTCCATGAAGATCAAAATATAAGTTTCTTCTTTTCTGTCCTAGGGTGCCACAGACAGCAGCAATTTCTGCTATAGTAACGGTAACATGGGCCA